TTAATGGCCCCCCAGTCTTAGTCCGTAGGGTTCAATATTGAGTTGGCCCCCGCTCTTCCCACACCCATGACCTTTAATGGCCCCCCAGTCTTAGTCCGTAGGGTTCAATATTGAGTTGGCCCCGCCCTTTCCACACACATGATCTTTAATGGCCCCCCAGTCTTAGTCCGTATATTCCAATATTGAGTTGGCCCCGCCCTTTCCACGCACATGACCTTTAATGGCCCCCCAGTCTTAGTCCGTATATTCCAATATTGAGTTGGCCCCGCCCTTTCCACGCACATGACCCTTAATGGCCCCCCAGTCTTAGTCCGTAGGGTTCAATATTGAGTTGGCCCCGCCCTTTCCACGCACATGACCCTTAATGGCCCCCCAGTCTTAGTCCGTAGGGTTCAATATTGAGTTGGCCCCGCCCTTTCCACACAGATGACCTTTAATGGCCCCCCAGTCGCAGTCCGTATATTCCAATATTGAGTTGGCCCCGCCCTTTCCACACACATGACCTATAATGGCCCCCCAGTCTTAGTCCGTAGGGTTCAATATTGAGTTGGCCCCACCCTTTCCACGCACATGACCTTTAATGGCCCCCCAGTCTTAGTCCGTATATTCCAATATTGAGTTGGCCCCGCCCTTTCCACGCACATGACCCTTAATGGCCCCCCAGTCTTAGTCCGTTGGGTTCAATATTGAGTTGGCCCCGCCCTTTCCCCACACATGACCTTTAATGGCCCCCCAGTCTTAGTCCGTAGGGTTCAATATTGAGTTGGCCCTGCCCTTCCCACACCCATGACCTTTAATGGCCCCCCAGTCTTAGTCCGTAGGGTTCAATATTGAGTTGGCCCCGCCCTTCCCACACCCATGACCTTTAATGGCCCCCCAGTCTTAGTCCGTAGGGTTCAATATTGAGTTGGCCCCGCCCTTCCCACACCCATGACCTTTAATGGCCCCCCAGTCTTAGTCCGTAGGGTTCAATATTGAGTTGGCCCCGCCCCCGCCCTTCCCACACCCATGACCTTTTAATGGCCCCCCAGTCTTAGTCCGTAGGGTTCAATATTGAGTTGGCCCCGCCCTTCCCACACCCATGACCTTTAATGGCCCCCCAGTCTTAGTCCGTAGGGTTCAATATTGAGTTGGCCCCGCCCTTCCCACACCCATGACCTTTAATGGCCCCCCAGTCTTAGTCCGTAGGGTTCAATATTGAGTTGGCCCCGCCCTTCCCACACCCATGACCTTTAATGGCCCCCCAGTCTTAGTCCGTAGGGTTCAATATTGAGTTGGCCCCGCCCTTCCCACACCCATGACCTTTAATGGCCCCCCAGTCTTAGTCCGTAGGGTTCAATATTGAGTTGGCCCCGCCCTTTGCAGCTATAACAGCTTCAACTCTTCTGGGAAGGCCGTCCACAAGGTTCAGGAGGGTGTCTATGGGAAGGTTGGACCATGGTTTGGTGCGGAGTTCAGCTTTAAGCCGACTGTATATCAAAAGCTGAATTAAAAATGTCATCGCTCTAAAAAGGAAGAACTGACCTCTGGATTCGGATACTCTGGTCCTGGTGGCCCTGCGTGGCAATCATGACATCTGCTTCGTCCAGCACGAACACCTTGATCTTCTTCGGATCGATGAACCTCAGCTTGGAGCACCAGTCCAGCACTGTGCCGGGGGTCCCGATGACAATCTGCTCGGGGATCTTCTGTCCGCGCTCCACTGGGGACATAGAAAAGGCCGGTGACACAGGCGGAGGGACACGTGCCATACGGTGAGGGGGATGGGGTGCCTCGGCAGACCGGCATTTCGATGTGCCGCGCTCCCCCTCCCCCAGCAAGGCCACATAGTTATTGATAGAACATCTGTCACTTCTGATGCGACTTTCATGTTTTTACATATTTGCTGGTCAAGATTAACCCCCCCCGTGCCGAAGGGCAAGACGAATCTGGTGTTAGCAAAACCGTACATATCACCACAGCGACTTTGTACATCCAGGTGGATTACGGCCGCGGTTTTTTTTCCAGAACAAAATCGGGCTTTTATTATAAATGGTAATGGATATATATAGCTGTATATTTCCTGCTACTACCATAATCTACACCAAAGAACAACCCACAATATATTCTCCTGCTCCTGGCGATCGCAGCGATGCCACCCGTCTGTATGTTCCTTGTTGTTTGTACCAGTTCTTCAGAATAGAAAAAAAAAAAAAAAAAAGTGCGCAATTTGCTTTTTTTATAATCCTGCCACTAACTGATACTAATTTAACCCCTTATCTACCGGGCACCCTCCCCCCCCTTCCTGCCCAGGCCAATTTTCAGCTTTCAGTGTTGTCGCACTTTGATCAGTGTAGACGTCCCCTCTGAGGAATGCCGATGAGCAGCATGTGATCACTACAGGGCCAATCAGCACTGTCCAGACAGAGGTCAGGAGTTCTGCATCCTCCCAGAGCAGAAAGAATACTCCTACAAGCTTTAACCAGTGCTCTGCTGGACACTGACAGAAGTCACAAGACTGCTGATGAGAAAAAGGGATTTAGCAGTTTATATTTACTAAAATAATTGTATTTCCTTGTACTGTGGGAGATCGGGTACAGTGAATGGGGGGTCCGGGGAGATCGGATACAGTGAATGGGGGTCCGGGGAGATCGGGTACAGTGAATGGGGGTCCGGGGAGACCGGGGAGAATGGGGGGTCCGGGGGGAGCGGGTACAGTCCGGGGGAATGAATGGGGGTCCGGGGGAGACCGGGTACAGTGAATGGGGGGGTCCGGGGGGAGCGGGTACAGTGAATGGGGGGGTCCGGGGGGAGCGGGTACAGTTGAATGGCGGGAGGCTCCGGGGGGAGCGGGGTGATGGGGGGGGGGTCCGGGGGGAGGGTGAATAATCGGGGGGGGGGGGTCCGGGGGAGCGGGTACAGTGAATGGGGGGGGGTCCGGGGGAGCGGGGTACAGTGAATGGGGGGGGTCCGGGGGGAGCGGGTACAGTGAATGGGGGGGGGGTCCGGGGGGAGCGGGTACAGTGAATGGGGGGGGGTCCGGGGGGACAGTACAGAATGGGGGGGGGTCCGGGGGGGAGCGGGTACAGTGAATGGGGGGGGTCCGGGGGAGCGGGTACAGTGAATGGGGGGGGTCCGGGGGGAGCGGTATACAGTGAATGGGGGGGGTCCGGGGGAGCGGGTACAGTGAATGGAGGGGGGGGGTCCGGGGGGAGCGGGTACAGTGAATGGGGGGGGGGGGGGTCAGTGAATGGGGGGGGGTCCGGGGGGAGCGGGTACAGTGAATGGGGGGGGTCCGGGGGAGCGGGTACAGTGAATGGGGGGGGTCCGGGGGGAGCGGGTACAGTGAATGGGGGGGGTCCGGGGGGAGGGGGTACAGTGAATGGGGGGGGGTCCGGGGGGAGCGGGTACAGTGGGGGGGGTCCGGGGGGAGCGGGTACAGTGAATGGGGGGGGGTCCGGGGGGAGCGGGTACAGTGAATGGGGGGGTCCGGGGGGGAGCGGGTACAGTGAATGGGGGGGGTCCGGCTGGGGGAGCGGGTACAGTGAATGGGGGGGTCCGGGGGGAGCGGGTACAGTGAATGGGGGGGGGTCCGGGGGGAGCGGTACAGTGAATGGGGGGGTCCGGGGGGAGCGGGTACAGTGAATGGGGGGGTCCGGGGGGGAGCGGTACAGTGAATGGGGGGGTCCGGGGGGAGCGGATACATGAACAGCGGATACAGTGAATGGGGGGGGTCCGGGGGGAGCGGATACAGTGAATGGGGGGGTCCGGGGGGAGCGGATACAGTGAATGGGGGGGTCCGGGGGGCGGATCCGGGGGGAGCGGATACAGTGAATGGGGGGGTCCGGGGGGGGAGCGGATACAGTGAATACAGTGAATGGGGGGAGGGATACTGGGGGGGGGGGGGTGGGGGGGGGTCCGGGGGGAGCGGATACAGTGAATGGGGGGGTCCGGGGGGAGCGGATACAGTGAATGGGGGGGTCCGGGGGGAGCGGATACAGTGAATGGGGGGGTCCGGGGGGAGCGGATACAGATCCGGGGGGGAGCGGATACAGTGAATGGGGGGGTCCGGTCCAAAGGGGGGGGATACAGTGAATGGGGGGTCCGGGGGGAGCGGATACAGTGAATGGGGGGGGTCCGGGGGGAGCGGATACAGTGAATGGGGGGTCCGGGGGGGAGCGGATACAGTGAATGCGGGCTCCGGGGGGAGCGGATACAGTGAATGGGGGGCTCCGGGGGGAGCGGATACAGTGAATGCGGGCTCCGGGGGGAGCGGATACAGTGAATGCGGGCTCCGGGGGGGGAGCGGATACAGTGAATGCGGGCTCCGGGGGGAGCGGATACAGTGAATGCGGGCTCCGGGGGGAGCGGATACAGTGAATGCGGGCTCCGGGGGGAGCGGATGCGGGCTACAGTGAATGCGGGCTCCCGGGGGGAGCGGATACAGTGAATGCGGGCTCCGGGGGGAGCGGATACAGTGAATGCGGGCTCCGGGGGGAGCGGATACAGTGAATGCGGGCTCCGGGGGGAGCGGATACAGTGAATGCGGGCTCCGGGGGGAGCGGATACAGTGAATGCGGGCTCCGGGGGGAGCGGATACAGTGAATGCGGGCTCCGGGGGGAGGGGGATGCGGATACGGGGGTGATACAGTGCGGGCTCCCAGTGAATGGGGCTCCGGGGGGAGCGGATACAGTGAATGCGGGCTCCGGGGGGAGCGGGGGGAGATACAGTGAATGCGGGCTCCGGGGGGAGCGGATACAGTGAATGCGGGCTCCGGGGGGGGAGCGGATACAGTGAATGCGGGCTCCGGGGGGAGGGATACAGGGGAATGCGGGCTCCGGGGGGAGGATACAGTGAATGCGGGCTCCGGGGGGAGCGGATACAGTGAATGCGGGCTCCGGGGGGAGCGGATACAGTGAATGCGGGCTCCGGGGGGAGCGGATACAGTGAATGCGGGCTCCGGGGGGAGCGGATACAGTGAATGCGGGCTCCGGGGGGAGCGGATACAGTGAATGCGGGCTCCGGGGGGAGCGGGGATACAGTGAATGCGGGCTCCGGGGGGAGCGGATACAGTAATGCGGGCTCCGGGGGGGTGAATGCGGGCTCCGGGGGGAGCGATACAGTGAATGCGGGCTCCGGGGGAGCGGATACAGTGAATGCGGGCTCGGGGGAGAGCGGATATAGTGAACGCGGGCTCCGGGGAGAGCGGATATAGTGAACGGGGGCGGGGGCGCGGGGGGGGAGAGCGGACATAGTGAACGCGGGGTCCGGGGAGAGCGGACATAGTGAACGCGGGGGCCGGGGAGAGCGGATATAGTGAACGCGGGGTCCGGGGAGAGCGGATATAGTGAACGCGGGGGCCGGGTGAGAGCGGATATAGTGAACGCGGGGGCGGGGGGAGAGCGGATATAGTGAACGCGGGGGCCGGGGAGAGCGGACATAGTGAATGCGGGGTCCGGGGAGAGCGGACATAGTGAATGCGGGGGCCGGGGGGAGAGCGGATATAGTGAATGTGGGGGCCGGGGAGAGCGGGATATAGTGAACGCGGGGTTCAAGGTTTAGGAACATTTAAGGTGTGACTTACGTTTGTTTCCTCGGACGGCGTAGGCCAGTTTCAGATCTGGATGAAACTTCCCCATCTGTTCAATGACCTTCCCAGTCTGCAGGGCCAGTTCATAGGTGGGGGACAGGCAGAGACACTGCAGGAGGAGACACATAAGTACATGGCATGCAAACTCCTCCCACCAACTCTCACATGGAGGATGGTTCTGCTTACCTGCGGGTATTTGTTTGCAGGATTAACCCGGGACAACATGGCCAGGACAAAGGCAGCCGTCTTTCCTGTCCCGGACTGGGACTGAGCGATGAGGTTCTGAGGCCTGAAGGAACAATGGAACACAGAAGTACCATAAGCTGCTGTGACACTCGGGTATTAAAAAAAAAAAAAAACCTGGACTGGACTGGAGGGCTCTAGTTGTGTCTTAGTGGGGGGCCAGACTGCTGCGCTCACACTAGTGCAGACCGTGTTCTCCCCTGCGGGCCGCCCATGGCACTGTGCAGACCGTGTTCTCCCCTGCGGGAATCCTTCCCATGGCACAGTGCAGTCCGTGTTCTCCCCTGCGGGGATCCTTCCCATGGCACAGTGCAGTACGTGTTCTCCCCTGCGGGGATCCTTCCCATGGCACAGTGCAGTCCGTGTTCTCCCCTGCGGGGATCCTTCCCATGGCACAGTGCAGTCCGTGTTCTCCCCTGCGGGGATCCTTCCCATGGCACAGTGCAGTCCGTGTCCTCCCCTGCGGGGATCCTTCCCATGGCACAGTGCAGTCCGTGTCCTCCCCTGCGGGGATCCTTCCCATGGCACAGTGCAGTCCGTGTCCTCCCCTGCGGGGATCCTTCCCATGGCACAGTGCAGTCCGTGTCCTCCCCTGCGGGGATCCTTCCCATGGCACAGTGCAGTCCGTGTCCTCCCCTGCGGGGATCCTTCCCATGGCACAGTGCAGTCCGTGTTCTCCCCTGCGGGGATCCTTCCCATGGCACAGTGCAGTCCGTGTTCTCCCCTGCGGGGATCCTTCCCGTGGCACAGTGCAGTCCGTGTTCTCCCCCTGCGGTGGATCCCCTTCCCGTGGCACAGTGCAGTCCGTGTTCTCCCCTGCGGGATCCTTCCATGGCACAGTGATCCTTCCCGTGGCACAGTGCAGTCCGTGTTCTCCCCTGCGGGGATCCTTCCCGTGGGCACAGTGCAGTCCGTGTCTCTCCTTCCCCCTGCGGGGATCCTTCCCGTGGCACAGTGCAGCAGTCCGTGTTCTCCCCCTGCGGGGATCCTTCCCATGGCACAGTGCAGTCCCGTGTCCTCCCCTGCGGGGATCCTTCCCATGGCACAGTGCAGTCCGTGTTCTCCCCTGCGGGGATCCTTCCCATGGCACAGTGCAGTCCGTGTTCTCCCCTGCGGGGATCCTTCCCATGGCACAGTGCAGTCCGTGTTCTCCCCTGCGGGGATCCTTCCCATGGCACAGTGCAGTCCGTGTTCTCCCCTGCGGGGATCCTTCCCATGGCACAGTGCAGTCCGTGTCCTCCCCTGCGGGGATCCTTCCCATGGCACAGTGCAGTCCGTGTTCTCCCCTGCGGGGATCCTTCCCATGGCACAGTGCAGTCCGTGTGTCCTCCCCTGCGGGGATCCTTCCCATGTTCTCCCCTGCGGGCATCCTTTCCCTATGGCACAGTGCAGACCGTGTTCTCCCCTGCGGGGATCCTTCCCATGGCACAGTGCAGACCGTGTTCTCCCCTTCGGGGATCCTTTCCAGGGAGAGGCTGGTCCCAATATCCCAAATCCCAATAGGAGGGGGGGGAGGGTAACGACTTCTTCCCAGCAATAAAATCCTGACAGGTGCTGACCCCACCCGCTGCAAAACTATTAAAAAAATAACCCAGCCCCCGCAAAAAGATTTTCAACAGCCGCCCTCAGCACTTTCACAATAGAAGGCGAGCTTTAGGAAAGGTGACTCGCCCCGTAAATGAGGGCGGGGCGCTTGGGACCGACTTAAGACAAAAGGCTGTTTTAAAAGAAAAATCGCAGAAAGAAATCTAAAAAGACAAAAGAATCGGAAGGTTCCTCAGCGAGGATTTGTCACCACAAAGGAGGAGCGATACTCACGGTTCGGCCAGCATCATAGGCAGGGCGTTCTCCTGGATCTTGGAGGGCCGGTTGAAGCAGCCCATTCCGTACACCCCCTGCAGGAGTTGCGGCTTCCTGAAATCACAAAAACACGGAGATTTAGCCCCCGTTACTTTTTTTTTTTTTTTTTTTTTTTTGGAGCGCGGTACAGAGAACAATGGAGGGAAATGACCCAAACCGAGACGCCGTGCATAGTAATCGAACGCATAAAGCGGAGAACAGCCCAGGGGCGCCCCTAGGGTTGGTGTCACCCGGTGCGGTAACACTTGGGGTCACCCCTCCGACGATCCCCCGCAGGATGGATCGGATCTGCGGATCGAGCATAATGGATCTGAGTCCGATCCATTATGATCCCCAATCCGCAGATCCGATCCATCCTGCGGGGTTGTTGGCTTGCAACCTATACGAGGTTAACTGATCTCTCCACGAAAAAAGGTACGTTTTAAAGCAAGTCGCCGATCCCCGCAGGATGGATCGGATCTGCGGATTGAGCATGTTGGATCGGAGTCCGATCTCATTATGCTCCCCAATCCGATCCATCCTGCAGGGGATTGTCGGCTTGCAACCTTAATGGGGTAAACTGATCTCTCCAGGAGCTCCATGAAAAGGTACAATTTAAAGCAAGCCGCCGATCCCTGCAGGATGGATCGGATCTGCGGATTGAGCATGTTGGATCGGAGTCCGATCCATTATGCTCCCCAATCCGATCCATCCTGCAGGGGATTGTCGGCTTGCAACCTTAATGGGGTAAACTGATCTCTCCAGGAGCTCCATGAAAAGGTACAATTTAAAGCAAGCCGACGATCCCTGCAGGATGGATCGGATCTGTGGATTGGGGAGCATAATGGATCGGACTCCGGGAGGGGGGGGGGGGGGGGTGGGGGTGGTAGCAGCACGCTGAAGATTTTTTTTTTTTTTTTTTTTTTTTTTTACCTTAACCGCTTAAGGACCGCCCTATAGTAGATATACGGATACAGGGCAGCACCTGTCATGTATACGTGATTTTGCATTTCCAGGTAGAGGGGGGGGGGACGCGCAGGCACCCTACCCATGCCGCCATTCGTGGCTGCGGATGTCAATCACCGGACAGTAACTACCCACCGGCGCCCGGTGATTGCTGAGCATCTCTGATGGGGAAGAAGATTGTTTTGTTTACAAACAATCTTCCTCCATGTCAGCTCGGGCACACTGCACAGTACAGCCACCCCAATCAGTGTGATTACAGTGAAGCACACCTCCCCCCTAGTAAAACACTCCCAACACACAGTGAACCCTTTGATCGCCCCACATTAACCCCTCCTTGCCCAGTGCCATTAGTACAGTGTCAGGTTTTTTCCAGCACTGATCACCGTATTAGTGTGACTGGAGATGTCAGTGACACCAAGTTAGCCCCCCCGGCCCCCAGTGTCAAAATGTCCACCGCAGTCCCGCTATAAATCGCTGACCGCCACCATTACTAATACAAAAAAAAAAAAAAAATCCCAGTATCTTTCCCGCCATTTGTAGACGCTAGAGCTTTGACATAAACCAATTCATTTACACGTATCAGCATTATTTTTTTTTTTAGCAAAGACACAGAAAATACATTTTGGACGAAATTTATGACGAAATTTGATTTTTTAAATTTTTTTTACTGGACGGGTTGTATAGCAAAAAGTCCAAATATTTTATTTTTCTCAAAATTGGTCTATTTTTTGCTTAAAGCGCAAAAAATAAAAACTGCACAGGCGATCAAATACCTCCGAAAAAAAAGCTCTACTTGTGGGGGAAAAAAAAAAAAAAAAAAGGAAATTTAATTTGGGTGTGGCACTGCATGACCGCGCAATCGTCAGTTAAAGAACCGCGCAAAAAAAAAAAAAAAAAAAAAAATGCCTGGTCAAGAAGGGGGGGGGGGGGGGGGAGGGGGAAATCCTTGAGGGCGAGGGGTTACAGTAACCCCCCCCCCCCCCAAAAAAAACAAACCCACACACTTCAGGCTTTAGAGCCACTTTAAGAACAAACTGTGGGGGGGGGGGGGGGGGGGCTGCGTAAACGGTTTTCTCTCAGAAAGTGAAATATTTGAAGTTTAATTATCATCTGGAAGCAGAAAGACGAGAAGATGAATGAAGGGGAAGGAGAGGCCCGGGGGGGGGGGGGGGGGGGGGGGGGGGGGGGAGATCTTCCTGCATTAATGATGGACAACATTCCTGGCATTCCTTCATATATCCTGATCCTTGCTGGGGAGAGGCTGGCCCCCCCTTTGGTGGTGATGGGGGGGGGGGGGGGGGGGGGGGGGGGGGGGGACTGGAATTCTTAAGATTCTTTGGTTTTAGTTTTTGCCGGCATTTCCTGTTATATAATCTGAGATCTTATATGATATACTGACCTCAGCCACCAGTCCGGCACATCGAGATTCTGGTCATTATTACAGACGTCTGGCAGATCTGTTGAGGCCTTGCAGGTCCCCCCCCCACCACTCATTGGCACATGTAGAGTGATGCCCAGTGACACCACTCATTGGCACATGTAGAGTGATGCCCAGTGACACCACTCATTGGCACATGTAGAGTGATGCCCAGTGACACCACACATTGGCACATGTAGTGACACCCCCCCCCCACAACCACTCATTGGCACATGTAGAGTGATGCCCAGTGACACCACTCATTGGCACATGTAGTGACACCCCCCCCCCACCACTCATTGGCGCATGCAGGGTGACGCCCCCCGACACCACTCTATTGGCACATAGTAGCGTGATGCATTGGCGCATTGCAGGGTGACGCCCCCCCCGACACCACTCATTGGCGCATGCAGGGTGACGCCCCCCGACACCACTCATTG